ATGTCGGCTGGTAGGATTGGTGTCCTTGCTTTGATGTCGGCTGCTAGGATTGGTGTCCCTCGCGTTGATGTGGGCTGCTAAGATTGGCGTTCTCGCTCTCCACGATGCGATATATATCCAGCATACATAACTTTTACTTTTAAGAGCTCGTCATTTGGAGCTTCAGTGTACAGAGTACATAAGCAATTTATACTGAAAGAAAGCCATCTCAAGCATTATTATAAACAAAAGGAAGGATGTATTTTCGGCACAAACGTAGTTTTTTCAACATAAATGGCTGGACTGGACGCAAAAGAAATGGTGAACACTACACCAAAAATACATGCGGGCTTTTTTCACAAACGTGACCCACGATCTTCTCAGAGTTGGGAAAGAAGCTCCCTCCCTCCGTCCAAATGAATAAGAAGATGAATCCATGATCTTCAGGTCACGTCCTCGCACCAGTCTGGCTTGAAATCTCTATGAAACTCAAAGTACACTTTTTGTATCGGTCGCAATTGCGAAGGCGTCTTAATTTCCATTGGGTCATTCTAAGGTCTTAAGCCGGATTTAGGTAGTTTCATGCAAGCATCATGTTGGACGGTTCGGTTAGGTCTGCAGGTCTGTAGGCTGGGTTAAAAAGGTCTCGCTAGGTCATAATTTTTGGTGATGTTTTAAAATTGTGACCTAAGCACCAAAGAACGCCAACTAATAATTACCAGTACGTTAACGTAAAAATAGCAAATATTGCAACTGGGACTCTCCTCACTAATCCAGACTACTGCGACACTGCTCCAAAGCCGTGTTGTTTGAGCGGCATGTAAGGACCACGGCTCGCGAACTGCTTTGCTCCCCCCCCCCCCTTCGTGTGCGCCAATAAGTAAGTGTGTTCTTTGTCTTGCTGCAACGTTCGGCGGCCATCCTAAAAACGCAGCTTGTTTCGTGATTGACATGCATTTGTCTTATTCATTTTGCTTATTTTGCTCGCTTCAATAATTGCAGAAATTTCTTGAATTTCCTGTTTTATTAATGGCGCTTATTTCATGCATTTGTTTCGTTTCATTCATTAGGAGCCTGAAATATAACGTTCATTCATTTGTTCCTCAGTGCTATTTGCTTCATTCTTGTCACGCATGTCGGTCGTTTTACTCCGTAATCTTCTCATTCATTCCGTTTGTTTTATGTATGCGTTCTATTTAGCGAACGCATACTGGTGGACGCAGACCTGTGCGCAAACCTCACTGGAAGCGAGCTGATTTGATTGCCTTGCAACTTAGGCTGTGGGTGTTGCTGATTACGATTTGTGAAACGTCGGAGGTTCGTTCGGAGACTGAAACCTCGGCAGAGGAGAGTTGTTAACTCGATCTGTTCTGAAGAATAAATGCCTCAGGCCATGCCGATTGTTATACATTTATGCTTGTAAATTAACTATTACCTTTGCTCATAGGGAAATAAGTTCACAATTATCCCACAAAAAATCAGTTACATTCAGAGGTGCCACACCAGTGTGTAGCATAAACATGGACAGCAGCACCAAATATGTTTAAAGCCCATGAATGTTACAGCCCGGCAGCAGAAGCAGGCTCTGCGTGACCTCGAGCCCATTAATTGCAGAGCTTCCACAACGTTGAGCGTGGCCTGGCCTGTTTTTATCATGGGCTAAGTGGAGCATCTGTCCCCAGAGAGCAGCTGGTGCAGGAATGAGGACGAGAGCGGTATACGGGTGGCGTTAAGAGCTCGCGGCGAACACCCCGACAGAAGGGAATGGCCATAAGGCATTCCAGGGAGAGTGCAACCATTTAGGTAACAATATTACTAAATCCGCACATTCGTGTCTAGATTATACATGGCAGAGTCAGACTTCAAATTCAGTTTGTTCAATGTGGTTCTCAAAAGTCCAGATTTGTCGTTACGAGTAGCATTTTTCTTTTATGAGCTAGATTATTTCATCTTTCCAACAAACGTGATTATGGTGGTGTAATATTGAAAGGATGGAACCCACCGAAGCATACTTGTGTAAAATACATCAATATGAGCTGTTCGTCTTAACAAATCTCACACTCCTAGTTTTGCCGAGGTTTCACATTTACACTGCAACAATACTGCACGGTTTTGGCTTCAACATGAGATTACATGCTGGGGGAGTGGTACTTTCAGGTACTGGGGTACTTATAATGATGCTGTCAAATAAGGCAGCACCTTCGGCCACAACGTTAGAGTGAATTCAAATTTATAAAACGTTTTACAAGTGACAGTGTTTCTGTTTTTTCTGCATCAGCCGAGACCGAGTGGTGCTTTTCCCAGTAATTAATTTCACCGCTGCCTAGAAAGGAGATGATTGGCAAAATAATCTGGCGGCACCAATACCGTTAACAGCAAGCCGCACCATCCGGATATTGTGGACACGTGCAGTGTGTCCCTGACACCGCGTCAACACCGATGAGTGCAACAGTTCGCCAAAGGCCATTCATCGAACTTCAGTACTCAACACGTTTATAAGAACCCCTCGTTGCACGCCTCTTGCAAAAGCTGCGGTCAGTGACTGCCTATCACCGTTCCATCGTCACGAAAGGCGTCGACGTTTTTGAAAGATCAGACGCGTTTGGAAACGAAAACAAACACCGCTTCTTCCAGATGCTGCTGTAAGCGAGCGGTGTCGGTGTGGAGTCCTTGGCTAGCATTACATCAGACACGGACCCGTATAAATGGCCCACCAGCGGTCCTGAGCGCAGTACCGCACTGTGACAGGAGAGGTGAAGCTCGGGAGACATTGAACCTGATCCCGGTGCCCGCGGACAAACCCTAGAGTTCCCTTCAGCTACGCCAGGTCAGTGGAGGTGGTGCCTCGCACTCTGTCGGCAGCTTTAGTGTGAGGTCAGACTCATCGGTTTCTGTTCGGTGACGTCGGACTAGGTCGGCGGCGGCAGTGCGAGGTCGCACTCAGTCGACAGCGGCCGTGTGGGATCAGACTTACTTTGGACATCGGCCGTGTGGTGTCGGACTCTGTCCGCAGCTGCCGTGTGGGGTCAGACTTAGTCGGCAGCGGCCATGTCGACAGCGGCCGTGTGGTGTCGGACTCTGTCGGCAGCGGCCGTGTGGTGTCAGACTCTGTCGGCAGCTGCCGTGTGGTGTCGGACTTAGTCGGCAGCGGCCGTGTGAGGTCTCACTCTGTCGGCAGCTGCCGTGTGGTGTCGGACTCTGTCGGCAGCTGCCGTGTGAGGCCGGACTTAGTCGGCAGCGGCCGTGTGAGGTCTTACTCTGTCGGCAGCTGCCGTGTGGGTGTCGGACTCTGTCGGCAGCTGCCGTGTGGTGTCGGACTTAGTCGGCAGCGGCCGTGTGAGGTCTTACTCTGTCGGCAGCTGCCGTGTAGTGTCGGACTCTATCGGCAGCTGCCGTGTGGGGTCGGACTCTGTCGGCAGCTGCCGTGTGAGATCAGACTTAGTCGGTAGCGGTCATGTGGTGTCGGACTCTGTCGGCAGCTGCCGTGTGGGGTCGCATTCAGTCGACAGCTGCCGTGTGGGGTCGCACTCAGTCGGCAGCGGCCGTGTGGGGTCAGACTTAGTCGGCAGCGGCCGTGTGAGGTCTTACTCTGTCGGCAGCTGCCGTGTGGTGTCGGACCCTGTCGGCAGCTGCCGTGTGGGGTCGGACTCTGTCGGCAGCTGCCGTGTGAGATCAGACTTAGTCGGTAGCGGTCATGTGGTGTCGGACTCTGTCGGCAGCTGCCGTGTGGGGTCGCACTCAGTCGGCAGCGGCCGTGTGGGGTCAGACTTAGTCTGCAGCGGCCGTGTGAGGTCTTACTCTGTCGGCAGCTGTCGTGTGGTGTCGGACTTAGTCGGCAGCGGCCGTGTGAGGTCGGACTCTGTCGGCAGCGGCCGTGTGAGGTCTTACTCAGTCGGCAGCTGCCGTGTGAGGGAATTTTTCACGCCAGACGTGCTCAGTCCACATCAGTTCCAACCGTGAGTGAGGAAGACGGCCCGTAGAGTGTGTATGTGGCTTCCAAAGTAGGTGTGCCGAGTGTGCGAGCTGAGAAGGCGTCGGGTAAATGGGTAGGCGTGAAGAGACGGACATGTAAGTCGATAAAATTTGCTTTGAGGTCACGGGTGTTATATGTCAAAGGAGAGCCACCTGAACTATTGCACTGGCATAGATCACGCAATAGAATGAGCTTTCTTTGAATATTGTGACAGCTGGCCGCTGTTCATTAAGGTGAATGGTATAATGATTAAATTCAGTGGTATGTGAGCAATGAGCATGGCGTTATCTGGTTGAAAGGGAATGCTCCATATTTGTGAGGGGTTTTGAACCGAAATAAGCTTATTACGCCATAAGTAATACTTGCTTTCATATCTGTAGGTGTGGAGCATTTCCTTTGAGATCATGATGCCCTTTTATATTCGGATGAAGTGTCTGGAAATTACCTTGAGGAGCGACTCCAAAATTGAAATGCGTTGTAAACGGTGCCAGTCATCGCTATGAGGGTGGTCGGGGCTTTACAGTGGGTCATACGGGGATCCACAAATTATTGTGCACAGCCTCGGACGCATCTGGATCAAAGGCCTCATCTCGAAGCACGGCTTTCTACGGCGGCCACAGGGGCGTCGACAGCGGGGGGTCGAAGCAGTCATGTCTCCAGTGATCACATTGACCCCCTTGGCGACAGTGATAGCACTTGCTTGATAACTTAAATGCTTAAATGGTCCCCCCCCCGCCCCCACACACACACGCCCTACTCACTGAGTAAACCGCTGGCAATAACCCTGGCATGGCCCTCACCGCTGGCATGACCTGGTGCCATGATTGGTCCGACACCTGATGGAAGTGGTCCACGCACCGGCCGCCCCCTGCCCCGCCCCGCCGAGCCGCGTGAGTGATAGCTCGTCCCCTGCCCCCGGCCATCACCGGCCTGCCGCGGCCCGATCGTCGCCGCCTCAATACCACCGCAAATAGTCAGCACCGCTGGTGCCAGCAGCGTGCGCCGGCCCGTGCGGGCGGGGCGGGAGCGGCTGCGCCGGCCGGCCCAGCGCCGCCGCCACTCGGGCGCACAGTCGGTCTCGGGGCGGTGGCGTCAGGTCAGCAGCGTTCGGTTCGGACCTCCGGGTCTGCGGGAGAACGGTCACGTGCTTCAGGTGGGTGGCGGTACCCGGGGCCTGCCCGCGGCTGCTCTCGTAAGGAAACGAGAAGGGCGAGGCAGTTTGCGGTTTGAAAGGAGTTGCTACATTGATGCTTCATCATAGGCACATATATGTGCTCACGTTAGGTGCTGTCAGTCTCTAGTAAGTCTATATGTATATGGAATGCGTTTCACTTCAATTAGTTATGCTTCATCTATGTTCTCCGTACCTTTATATATATATATATATATATATATATATATATATATATATATATATATATATATATGTATATATATATTTGCTTGCATACATACATGATGATTATATTAGATTGTATATTGTAGAACAGCAAGATATGTAAAATGTCTTTCAAAGTAAAAAAGTATGACATGTAAAAATTATAAATCACCTAGCAATGAGCAAAGTAAAATATTTTAGATGTAGAGTAATTAGTGCATGATATGTGCGTGTCACAGTAATGCCAGGATTCGATTATAGTGATTTAACTCGCGGAAGCCTGTACAAAGGTGCTAGGAACACGGAATGTGAAAAGAATGGTACGATATTTTGTCTTGCAAGGCTTTTCATGTATTGCGGTTCATAAATGAATGGTTTTCGCCACGCTTTTCGAAGCATTGCAACTTAGTTTCCAATATTGTATCATATCATCTTTGTGTGATCGCAGCTACGTTGCCGAGGTCTCCACTTATTTCGGTGATTGTCACGGAGCTCATCGTAATGGATAATGTTGTCAGAGAAGTGGGGGAATGGGATTATGTATCACCGCAAGGGTGTAGATAGCCAGTAAAGATTCGTAGCTTAGTATGGAAACTTTGCACAGGCCAAGGGAGAGGACTTGTGTACGCTAATCGGCTCGTGCAATCTCGCCGTCACGGTTGCATAAGCTATGGGCCACCCCATATCATAATCTCTGGACCACCCCATGTTTATGAGCTCACAAAGCTCTGATCATTTAAAGCTGACTCGAAAGCTGTGGAATTGGTATTCAGTGTTGCGACACTAAATGAACCCGCAACCTGATCGGAAACTGTGTGTGAAGCGGATTGTTTAAAGATGGTGTTATAACCCACGCTTCTTGCTCGTCCTGAGTTATAAGCGCGAGCGCGATCGCACGTACCTGTCAGATCTCTTACATGGGTTCCGCGTACTGTGCGCATGTTGGTAGTTGTCTTCACACGGGATCCGTTTTGTTTGCATGTGACGCCGCGTTTCCCCGGGAGGACATGCGAATTTTAAAACCCTCGTGTGCGAATGCAAAGTCCCTGACAATGCAACTATGTGCAAATGCGGCCAAGTGCCGTGTTATGACATCCGACCTTATTTACAAATCGACTTCTTTACACGACTTCTTTACAAATACAACGACTTTGTATGGGTCAAGTTGGCGTGTTTCTTAAAAGCAGTCATCTCCAAGCTGTGCAGACGCAACGGGTCACAGAGAGCTTCGCCGCCGCACGTTATTGTGTCAGCTATTGCCTCCAGTGTGCGTCGTTCGAACTCACAACGTTCCCTGGCGCTTGGTTGGCAACATTCAAGCTTGTGTGTCCCTTTGAGCTCGGTGTTTGATTACTTGTGATCTAACGACGTCCGCCCCCGCGCACTCTGCGTCCCCGCCCCTTTGACTTCACTCAGCGTTCTAGTGCGCCTCTTTGGTGCCAGTTCGCGGCGTCCGCGCCTCTTTGACTTCACCCAGTGTTCTAGTGCGCCTCTTTGGTGCCAGTTCGCGCCCCAGTACCGTCCTGTGACGTTAGATCGTGTCTTAGAGGGCCCCTTTGACGCCAGACCGTGTTCCAGTACACCCCCATGACGTCACACCATGTCTTAGAGGGCCCCTCTGACGCCATGCCTCGTCCCATTGCGTCCCTGTGACGTCATCTCGCGTTGCAGCGCGCTCCAGTGATGCTGAACGTACTGCTTCTGGCCATGACCGTGACCCTGCATTTGGCACGCGGCGCGCCGGCCGCGTCCGTGTCGAGTCGACCGGAGGGTCGCCCGGCCGCGCCGAGCCGGTCCGACCCGGTCCTGGACGCCGTCCGGCCGGCAGGCACGGACAGCCGAGCCGGCGGCGAGCGGCACGAGGCGGGCCCCGAGCCCGGCCCGCCCGGGTACAGGACCAGACGAGAGGTGAGCAGCGGTGACCGTCGCAGGCGCCGGCCTCGGCGCCGCGCGAATGTCATGTTTTCTGCGCACGTGTTTACGGTGGCGGCACGATAAGCCGCTTGTTTTCAGCGAGGAATGCTTCAGATATGCTCACAGATCCATCCCTCTCTCCGCCGTCGATTGAAATCAAAACATTATGCCACGCCCTCGGGCATTCAGGAACGTCACTTAAGCTGTCATGGATCGGCCCCTTTGGGACGGGCCTAAGTATGATAAATGTCATCTGGCAAATGTCACTGCATCCCATTCCGAGCCACGAGCACCGCAGCTATTCTTGGCGATGGAACAAGGGACCTGGCCGTCGCACATAGTACAACCATCAATTCTAGACAGATCTGCGCTATCGACAGCATGGCAACGGGTATCGATATGGTAAGAGGAGAGTGACACCTGTCGAGATATAGACAGTGATCATCTCACCTACTGAAGGGGAAGAAGCAGAATATGTTTTGAAGAAGAGCAAAGAATATTGAGGGCGGTTTCATGGATTGGAAGCCTGCATACTTGTCCGCCTGTAGCGTCGTAAGAGCACTTATAATGCAAACTGACGACACGTAGCTTTTGCTTTATACACTGCCCGCAACATGTTAGTTTGCATTATACCGACGGGCAGCGCTGGAGCACTGTACAGACAAAATAGCGCACGCTGGATGAATGAAAATATATATATAATAAATGCAACCACGTCATCAGGTCATATACCTTTCGCTTCTTTGTTATCCTAATCAGCGTAAATGTTGATGAAGAAAAAACTATAATTATTGTTTATGCCCAAAACCACGCCCAACATTGATAAGCACAGATCCCATGGGGTGTGAGAGCGATTTCGCATCTGAGAAAAGCATCCGTCACGGGCATCACGGCCGTTTTAGATCTCAGATAACGACCGTACGTCATTGCTAGCACTGCTTGACTGTACCAGCGGATGCTGGGATCTGCGCAAATCCCGGCTGGCCACAGGTCGTCCGTTGACGAGTGTTCAGGGCTGTGTGGAGCACAGCTGACGACAGTGCGTGCATTACAACAGTTGACACGTGTTGGGACCCGTGCGTGGTCACACTGACGACGCTTATTCCATCTGCGGGCTCCCGGATCTGCGCGGAATCCACCTGGCGACAGCATCTCCTTCTGCAGGCGCTGGTGTGTGTTCTGACCGAAGTGTGTCCTCCGCCAGGTGTTGGACTCTCTGCGGCATCTCCGCCGGCTGCGCCACGCCTCCGCGTCCTCCAGCCCCAGCCTGTCCATCATCAACCCGCTGGACGTGCTCCGGCGGCGAGTCATGCTCGAGATGCTGCGTCGCAGGATCCGCAAGAACAGGCTGCAGGTCAGTCGGGCGGCGGCCGCGGTCATGGAGAGGTCACGGGTGTGGCGGGCGGCCACAGACTGATGCGTGGGTCGGTGGCATGGGCTAGGCGGCCGGGCAGGCGTTCTTCAAACAAGGGTTCTGCTTTTGATGGCAGTGGCAGGTACCAGTCTAGTCGAGGCAGGTGCTCGGGCTTTTGTCTGAATTTGCGTTTGTCAGGCGTTAATTAGTAGACAAACGGCTGAAATCGCGCCAGGCCTCGCGATAAGGGAATGGTGAAAAACATAAAGCACTGTCACATAAACTGGCCGATGTGCATTTTGGTGCTGAAGATTAGTTTCAGGCCAGTACTGACAAAGGATTTCTGCTCTCTCACAGATCAGCAAGAATTCAGACATTCTTGCAAGAAAGGGAAAGCGCAGCACCAGAACGCAGCTTGCATCGAATAACAACCTCAGCGAGGGCTCCAGGCAAGTATCTAAGAACTTTATATTCTAGCCAGGTTAAGTGACGGGGATTCACTCGAACCACGTTAATGCATCCATTGGCGGCGGCTGGGTGGAGCAGCTGTACGCTTCGTTGCATCACACAGCAACCTAATATAAGCAGCAGGAACACATCTGCTGCCGGCGGCTTGTGAGGTGCAGTAATGTGAGTCATTGCCTGTCTCGGCGCACCTGAGACAGCCCCGCCGCGCGGACAGCCACTCAGGGGGCCGCACCGGGCTGGTAACGACCGCGGGAGCTGGTCGTGTTCGATGTTCACGTTGTGTTTTGTTTCAGGAGATTTGAGTCGAGCCAGAGACAATCGGAGCTCTCCTGAGTCTCGTCACGTTAGGTCGGAGGAAGAAAGGTGAGAGTTTTGCGAGCGGCCACTGATGCGATTATAAGTTAACGAAAAGTAAAGGGAATGTTCCACATTTGTATGGGGTTTGAACTGAAATAGCTATTTTGAGGACCTTTACGGTGTTCTTCACAACCCTGCCCTTCTTCAGACATAAACCCATCTAGTTTCTAAGGCTACACACCCGCAAAAATGGGAAGAGGATTTTGGGGGAGAGTATTTCAAAGTAATCTTGGCATTCATGACGTCATAATAACGTCATTCAAATTCTGCCATTCCATGAGCCATGCAACGATCAAGACCAAGAAACATTTAACTGTCAAGGCGTTCATATCTGGCGTTCTTGAGCGAGATTTCCAGATATAACGGCCATCTATTGCTTCCCAGTCAATGTTGAGCAAGGTCCGTTGACGTAATCATGACGCATGGAGGAGCTTGTTTACTTAACAGAGAATCGTGTTGTGTGGGGGCAGTCTTTCCACTAACGGGATACAATAGATCTAAGTGAGTTTGCTCCATCAGATCTGATGCTTGCTTCAATATCTTCAAATGTGGCACATTTCCTTTAAGCCGTGCGGATGCGCGTGACCCTCGTCTCCGCTAGTGGTTGTGTGCTTATGAAGGACGTCTTAAAGCACTGATGCGTTTTTTTAATGATCGGTATTCGGATAGTTTTGTAGTTTTCACAATAGCAAATGTAGCACTAATTTAAATGATTTAGGACAGGAGGGCATATGATGCTGAAATCAGATTGACTATGCGTTTTCCTGTTGGATGCATTACATCTGCTCACATGCTATGGTCAAATTCATGTAAAGTACATCGGCACTGGACGTTGACAATTTTTACATCCCTCGAAATTGATGTGACGAAGCCGTTTTTTGTTGAAGCACTAACACCTTTTTCCGTTTGCAGGCTAGAAGCAATGATCTCAGAAGCGCAGAATAATAACTTCTCGCGCATCAACCTGTCTTCAGTATTCGTCGTTCTCCATGCACGACACGAGAGTGGCTGGTTCCCTTCTCGTCACGACTGCAGCGACTGGGCCATCAGGCCCAGGACCGTCGCTCACCAGATACCGCGCTCAGGGCACAGGCCCGCTCGTCGCGGTGTCCGGCGAAAACGCTGACGGCCGGGTGGTCTCTGCATTGAGAGCGGATGACGGCCGCCGAGGGCGGCGAGACGGCCGTCGTGCGAGTGAACTGTTGCATCATCAGTGCGTTTTCCCACTGGACGTGTTGATCACATCTCCCGGTGCCACCAAACGCTGTTTATTTCAGTTGACATCGTTACGACGTAAGCCGTTGCGTTTGGCATCGTTGAGGCGTAAGCCGTTGCGTTGACATCGACAAGGCGTAAGCCGTTGCGTTGACACCGTTACGGCGTAAGCCGTTGCGTCGGCATCGCTGAGGCGTGAGCCGTTGCGTTGACATCGTCTAGGCGTGAGTCGTTGCTAATGAATGAAATCGGCCAACAGCGGAGCTGTGAGTTCCCCACCAATCGCGTATTAACCTCATTTTGTGAGGAGGCGGACGTCTCTAAGTTGTTTTACGTGATACTTTCCATCGTTTGAATAGGTGCTATATTTTATTTTCCTATTTAAGCGCACGAGTGCGCATCGAGCTTCGTGGCTAGGCATGTGTAATGTTTTTTTTCAGAAAATATGATGCTCAGACAAAGCAGTGATGCATTTTTGTTTTGTTTGGCACCAGTGGAGAGCGAATCCTCTCGCCCGGCACACTTACACGAAGTAAAAGGCAAGCAGACATGCGGCAACCGGTTCCAATGTGACAAACCTCCTACAGCCATGCATGATGACGAGATACATGAGGAATTAAAGCAGGAGTGAGAAACCGTGCTGCTTCGGACCAGCGAATTTCAGTTCTGAATGCAAAAATATGTATGCTGTTTATAAGGGAACTTGGCCCCCCAAAATATGCTTCATACCATAGAAATTTGAAGGTATTTCATAATTCGGCACATTGTCCTGTCTTCAAGCCATTGGCCTCTTACGGCCGCAACGTTTCCTGAGCTATGCACCGGTACGCGGTGAAACAATAGGTCATACTAATGTGCACACTCATGGGGGACGAGGGTCCACGACCCGCTGTGTGTTAAACTGGCTACCATTCGATCTCGCTTACATGCTTCATGCACGAACAGGCCATTGTCTCTCTGGGTCATGGAATGAACTGGATATGTCTAAAATGCGCATGATTTTAATGCAAGATGTTAAAATGCATAATGTATAATATGTCTAAAATGCTTTTTGATAAGAGAGCTCCCTTTAATATAGGTGGCTACACATCTGAGACACATGCTGTTGGAAGTGTTAGCCAGGCAGCGGTAGCTATGTGTGATGCTATATGAGGCTGCAGTACTCATGGACTTCGATGCTTGCGTACCTGAGAATGCTGCATCTGAGGAACCGTGGCGAGCGTATAGATACAATGCTACCTCGTTTCTATGGGCTTTACGTAGGTACCGTCATGATGCATTCTGGGCAAAGCGTTCGGCAGATGCATTGTCAGGGTCCCATGAAGCTTCATCACGGCGATACCCATGCTTTGGCGGCATTACTTCGTGTGTGGCAATCTTAACCATCCCAATCAATATATGTTGATACTGTGTCGTATAATTGTTGACATTTGGGAAAGAAATGCGGTTAGCGATCTCTCTCGCATTGCGAATAAAGCAAAGCATGCAACATAACAGTACGTCGCCAGATACGTAACGGACAAGCTCCCGAACTCCGTTTGAAACCATGTATGAGACTGAGGACTGTACGCATTTTTCGCGTTTGAAAACCTGTTCCAAGTCATCATTTGCAGTGTTTCAAACAGCAACAAAAATTCCGAAAATATACGTGCTGCTATGGGCGGCAAATATCATGCCTTCTTTCTAGGCAGTTGATAGATGGGCCATTCATATAAACATGCAACGTGCATCAGGTCATGTTCCGCTGACCAACACCAACTTCCGTTTGTGGGCGCTGCGTTCTCCAAGTTCAAGCGGCCTCCTCCACGTCACGCAAGTTTACAACCGGACGTATAGATGGCCCGTCATTGCGTATCCGAACGTTTGCAAATCGTACGTGATTGACAGCTGGGGCTCCGTTCCTCAGTACCAAATCTAACCTAACCTAGCCTAACCTAACCTAACCTAACGTCATCCAGCTAATCTGGCCATGGTGGTCATGTGCCATGCAAAATGGTGCATTGGTTTTGGTTTTTCGGGTAAAGCAAGGCTTCGTACCGTTTTCAACATTATTTCAAACTTATTCACAGACTACTTCAAACTTTTTCATACGTTATTTCGAACTTTTTTTGGACATAATTTCAGGTTTTTGCACGCATAGTTAGTTCAAAATAAACTAAAGCAACTACAAGGACCTGTTCTGCGTCTTTGACGTCGTGTTCCTTAAATTCATTTGGCAAGCGCGGTGAGAAAAATTGGTTCGCTTGATTTATTTCCATTTGTTAGTTCTCCGGAGCCGATAACCAAATATGTAAAAGAAACCTGGACATGTACCATAGATATTTGTGAGCTGATTCCGCTGGTTGCATGGCGTATCCCTCGAAAGAGGGATAAGCTGTGTAACCAGGGGAATCAACTTAGCTCAATGCCACTTACAGAATCCTCAACATTTAGAATGGCGAGGGAACTGGTGGGAATGATGGAATGAGGAGAAATTGAAATCCCCTCTTGTTTTTTTTTAATATCACCAAAGCTAAAAAACTGCCAACGAACAGTTTTTAGTGTCATAAACAGAAAACCAGATGTCGAGCAAGCCAAGAACTTATGAAGCTGACAGGTAGCTTAATCTGCTAAAGCCCGGTAGAGTTTAAATGTCCGTTAGTCGTGATCGCCGACCGGTCGCCCCGGGGGTCGTACTGTAACAGGTGCCCCCCCCCCCCCCCCCCCCCCGAGAGGTGGAGCCGCCATCTTGTTATTCTTATAAAGAGGATTCCTCATTGAAAGGAACCATCGATGATTTCGGCTTTCGAACCACACCACACCACGTAACTGACCATCCAATGAAAGCTGGCGCCGACCTTCGCAGCAGAATAAGGGATCAGGGCAGAAACGGGAAAATCACTAACTACAGCAATAAATCTAGTTTTTTCATCGCATGTCGGCTTTCATTGCAGCGTTTAAATACAAAACGCAAAGAATGTTCATAATTTTCAAGAGCTTTGTTTGTCATTGGCGACTAACGTGGATTGTTTATTATTGACATCATTTGACATTGAACTGCTTGACCTATGACTATCGTGACCCGGCATCGGATCATCACCAAGGCATTATTTTCTCAGAGTTTCGTGACTCCAGCACGACTCGCACCATGGATAGCTGGGGTCAGCTGTGCTGACGAGCCCCTCTCCTGGGCGTACCACTGCAACAGGCGTGTTCATCAGAATGCTGACGATTTTACCAGCGGGGTTACCTTTTGTCTCACAGCCGCATGATGCCTGGTTGGTCACACGAAGTATTGCATTTTATTGACCAATATAAGACGGTCAATATAAGACCAATATAAGACCAATATAAGACCAAGTAGGCCGCGTGCCATTTTATTGATCAATATAAGACGATCTCACTACTCGGCATATCAATGTTATGCCTATGGAGTGGCGGGGCGAGCAGCCTTCGAGAGGTACATTGGGTTGGGTTTGCACTAACTTCGTGCGATGCCGATTTCTGGCCTGCGCGATTCCGAAATGGAGCCGCCTGGCGGCCAGGGTGTGCGACGTTCCAATCTTCAGCGCTTTAAAAATCCTGACTCACAGTGCATGTAAAGCCATGTGTAGCATTTGGGTAGCTTCAGAGGTTTGAGTGTCTAGCTTGTGGTAGTGATCTGCATTGTTTTATGTCAGAGTGTGCAAATTGTCCTATAACTGACTCGGAGACCTGAAACAACGTTCAAACAGTGCCCCCCGAGTTTACGTCATAAATCGATCTGATTTGACGTCATTAGAGCGGCTGGGTATCATATGGAAATCGGTGAAGTGTCGGGTTGGCAAGACTTTTGGAAAACTATGGCTGTGGGTAAGGGTATAGGTGCGATGCTTACGAAATGACGGGTAGATGCGTCAAAATATGCTGCT